AGAGTTCCATTTTGCTGAAGCATATTGGATCACAGATAAATCTATATGTTGCATCATAAACTCGTGCCCAAATTTACAAAATCTTGATATTGCATTTAGCAAGGGGAAAATCAAAGATGCTAGTATGTTAATACAGAGATGTCTTAGTATAGAGTTTCTTGTTTTTAGTAGTGTCATGGCTTTTCGTAATGATGCATTAATTGTAGCAATCATCAGGGTATCTCCAAATTTAAGACATCTAGACATTGGTAGTAATGATATTGGCGATGAGATTACTGAAGCGCTAGCCCATACATGTCATAAATTAGAATATCTCGATCTAAGTTGCTGTTCATTTGTTAGCGAACCATCAATTTGTAATGTTATTCGTTCCTGCCCGAAACTCCAGCATCTTAACCTCAGCTTTTGTGAAATTTCTAATGTAACTATCAAAGAAATTGCTCATTCATGTCTCAGTTTAAAATTTCTAGATTTTGAAAACTGCAAAAATGTTAGCAAAAAAACTATGAGTCAGCTAAATCCAAATATTCATATAGAAAATTTTGATGAAGATTACTACTGTTCCGATTCAGAGTCTTCTAGCTCTGAAACCGAATCAAAGTCCAAATCATCTAGTTCTGAGTCAGAGGATGAAGTTACCTATTATAATAATCTTTCTCCTCCGATGATTATGGACTTACCCGATAGCCCGAATGATTTTATTAGCACATTTAGTGATTTTCTTAGACAGAATGGTGGTGCTAATAATAATTTTATTTCTGCATTTCTTAATCAGGAATTAGCACAATGCTCTTTGGCCGAGCAATGGTACTCTACCGATCTAACTAATCCAACACTCTGGAGTAGTGAATAGTTATTACGTCAACCCATAATATAGCTCATTAGCTTGGAAGATTTTTTTGCTGAGCTACAATGCATATACTCCTGTGCGACAAAAAATAGGTAGATCGCAAGACAGGTTTGATATTAATTCTGCAATCAATAAATAATTAATCTCTTAACTTTTTTTCAGAAAGTTCTAGTATAATACATATTACAAATCTTTGAATTAGCATTACTCAATGTCCCTAGTGTCAGAATGAGATAAGAATAGAAGTTTGCGCCTCTAATTTGTGAATCATTCACGATAGCCAGTGAAGATCGATCAATTCCGGCCTATACTAAAAAATTCGCGAATGAACTGATCACCAAATCCGAAATTAGTAGAGTCAAAGACCCGATACTTTGTATCATCTAAAATTATTTTTTTTAGTCAGAAGGATATACTATAAAATAAGCTAAGTATAAGGGATTTCGTTATGTAAAACTTATCTGGTTATAATTGAAATATGTCTACCACTTCTACTTCTGCACCATCTACTCCCATTAATAACATCAAAAATCTCGCATATAATATTCTAAAAACCTTCAAGGATGGTATTATTAAGGGTAAAAAAATTACAGAGCTAGGGCCATGCTCCGAATGTGGCAATAACATTTTAATATCTCCTCTCAAGGCATTCATATACCTAACATGCGGACACCTTTTTCATAGACTCTGTATCGAAAAAAAGCTTGGGTTGCTTATAAGCCAAAAATAGACAAATTTAGAAAAAAATTTTAATTAAAAAAATAATTTACAAATTTTTGTTGAACTCTTTAAATATTAATTTTAAGTTTATAGTTCTTAATACAATATTGTACTTTATATAAAAGATGGCAACTTTTATTATTACATCTTTAGTGATTTACTTATAAAAATTATAACTTGTATTAGAAGTAAAGATTTTTTAAAGGTGAAAACATATAAAAATTTAGAAAATTTAAAGAAAAATTTAATAGTAAAAATTTTTTTTTTTTTTTTTTTAAGGTGAGATTGCTTCTCTAGATACTTTTATTATGTTAACTGTAGATTTATATCTGGAATTGTACAGACATAGAATACAACTAGGGATGGGATCGGCTTTTAGTAAGCCGGCTTAGCCATGGCTTTTAAGCCAAGTCAACGAGCCGGCTTAAGCCGGCTCGAGCCGATATCACATGATTTAATGCATCTATGCTGACCCTATTTTATAAACCAGTTTTTTATATAGGACATATATAACTAAGTGATATTATAAGTCTGTGGCATATACGTATATATGTACTACATATGTACATATGTATGTACGTATCAGATTTGTAGGAATATTAAACAGTTCAGTCAGTTTTTAAGTTGGTTTGTACTTCAATAACTATCTAATATTTGAATAGATATAGCAAGAGCGGTTTTCAATTTATACTAAAATGTGCATTAAATCAATTATACTTCTCTCATCATATGATTGAGTCAAAGTCTTAATTTGAACTGAATATTTAACAATTCTAAAGGTTAGTGAGTTTACTAATTAAAAAAGCTTTTTAACTTTATTTCTACTCGAATCATTTTTCAAAATACTTTTACTTTTATAATGTTTATAATTTATAATTTTTATGCCAAAACAATAACAACTTGTCAAAGGTCTAATATAATGTGCAGTATTTGCATTTGGACTATGTCTAATAAAAATTTCATTTGGCCGCAAACATATTAAATTCTATGTTCAAACTTGTTCAAATAAAATTTAATACGTACATACGTACATATATCATATCAAAAAATTTAACTTTATTAAAACCAATAAATTTTTATTTTGTCTGTTTAAAAATCTTTTTAAAAAATATTAAATATATTCCAATCACCTCTCCAAAAATTCACTCCATTGCAAACACTGAATAAAAAAATAATGGGTTTAAAAATATGAATCTCTATAATGAACTTTTTTATAATATTATTAGAGTTGATTTTGATTCATAAAAGTAAAAAGAACAGCTGACGAAGATACTGTACATATATGTATTTATTTATTTTCTATAAATATAGTTAGTATAACATAATTATTTATAAATAGTATTCTAAAATTGTGTGACTCGCAATCTTGTTTAAATTTTTTATTTATCTATCATTTTCTATCCAACTTTTTAAACAGATCGATGCATTAGCTGTCTTAGGGTTGAGACGATTACGGAGCTTTGAAATTGTTCTTGAAGTAGTGGAAAAAGCTTCTTCACAAGGAACGCTTGATCCTTGGATTGCAAGATAATTTTGTGCTATTTTTGCAAGTATTGGGAATCTATTATTATTATTAGCCCACCACTGAAAAAGATCAGAACCATTTGCAATGATCGGTGAAGACAAATATGTTTCCAACTGTTCTGTTACTTTTCTAATTGTTTGTAGTTCTGTTGTTTGTTGCTTTACTAATGATATAAATTTTTATCTTTTTTTATTATATGTGGAGGTGGAAGTAGAGATAGCACCTGTCACTAATTCTGGTGATGCATACTGAGCTATTACATTTTTCAGACTAGTAATAGCTCTTTCTCTCTCAGAAGTTAGGAATGTTATTAATTTAGATGCAGGATCAAAAATGGTGGCTATTTTTGTTGATTTGTTACCATCAAAAATACTCCAATATTTGGTTAACAGGTCGTTAATAGATTTTGCTATTATGCATTCCTCTTTTGAATATAATTTATTAGCTACAAAGTTTTGAACATGTTGCAAGATACTCTTTAAAACCAAACGAATGTTACTAATAGTTGGATATGAACTTTTCGAAAGTATATCAGTTGCATCAAGCATCAGCTCTAATAAGTGAATAATATTATTAATATTTATCCACTCACTTATATTAGGATAATTGCTTTTAAGGCTCTGATGTGCAGTTTTAAGAAGTTTAAGTTCACTTTGCATTTCTTTGAATCGAAAAAGCATACAGTAGGTGCTATTCCATCATGTAGATATATCAATTATTAGCTTACTGTATGTTTTATTATTTATTATTTATTATGCAAAAATCTCAAAGTTTGTCACTCATAACTGTTGAATCTCAAACTTTATTTACAAATTTCCGGACCTTCTTAATTGCTTCATTATAGTGCGCTATACCATTCTTTATAGTGATATTGAGAACATGGGCTGCACAACAATGGTGATGAAATTCAAAGTTCTATTCTTGTTCTATTAAACTTCTACACAAAACCATTGAAAGGGCATTGTCTGTTGTTAGAGTGATTACCTTATTACTAATTTTCATTTTATTACAAGCATTCATAAAAAACTCCTTTATATGCAATGCAGTATGATGATATTTGAAATGGATAAGGTCAAGCAAGAAACGACGCATCTTCCATTTATCATCAATATAGTTATGACTAGGTATGCTTGATCTGTACTTGATTTCCAAGTGTCCATGGTAAGTGCAACTTTAGTAGTAAGGTTTTCAAGCTCTTCTGCAATAAGTTTGTGCCGAGTTTCAAACCTAGATATGGTTACTTTTTATGATTTGGTAATACATATCTTGGATCATATACATTTGCTATTTCACGAGCATACTTATTTTCACAAACTTGAATGGAAGTTGGGCACCAATTATAAGGTTAAAAATAGCATTAAAGCAATTTTTTTATATTCAGCATCTTCTTTTCTATATAGGTTTTCAGTTAAACTAAAATGGTTTTTTTTTAAAATTAATTGGAAGTCCACGAGTAAGCCAGAGAGTATCATAGTAAAATGTGACTTAAATTACTATATAAATTTACTATAGTATAAATATAGTCTGCGTGAATCTAAAACTTTTTTTTATACTAAGTTAATCACCCTTCTAACTTAAGAGATTTTTGTAAAGCTTGTCAAAACGCATCTAATAGTAGTTAGAACATCAAAATCGGCCTGGTGGGTGCTGAGATATCTTTAAAAAACCTTTCTTTTACTATATAAATTTCTTTGCAAAAATACTATTTTTGCAAAAAAATTTATATAGTAAAAGAAAAGTTTTTTAAAGATATCTCAGCACCCACCAGGCTGATTTTGATGTTCTAACTACCTTTAGATTCGTTTTGACAAGCTTTACAAAAATCTCTTAAGTTAGAAGAGTGATTAACTTAGTATAAAAAAGTTTTAGATTCGCACAGACCACATTTATACTATAGTAAATTTATATAGTAATTTGAGTCACATTTTACTATAATACTCTCTGGCTTACTCGTGGACTCCCAATTAAGTATAATGTTATATTTTTTAAGATGATTACTTAGAACTCCCATGGACATGGTGAGGCTATATTTTTTTCAACATAATTTGCATTTTTTTTCCACAACTTTATTTTCAACTATTATTTTCTCTATATATTCCCATATAGATGATGGTTTATTTTTACTATTGCCTATCTTAAGAGAGATTTTCACGGGCATTTTACTACTACTGGCAACCACAATGTCTTCTGCATATTTAGGAACTTCCATATCTCTTATTTTATCTATGTCTTCTACATCTTTCATGTCTTCGTCTTCCACATCTTCCATTTCCAAGTCTTCCATTTTATCTGCATCTTTCATTTCATCTATATAATCTGTATACTTCATTTCATCCATATCCTCTCCATCTTCCATGATGTCTGTATCCTCCACATCTTCTATAAAATCTATGCTTTCTGTGCTTGATATATTGGAACTAGATCAAAATATTGAGTTGTATAAATTATATGCTTTGAAAAGGATAAGTATATTTTAAGAATGGTTTTTTTTTATTTTAATTTTTTTCAGCTGCTGATTTTTGTAATTTTTTTAAAAATATTAATTATAATTTATGATATTATTAATCAAGACATTTTTAGATTATACACATTAAATCAGATTACTTTTGATATGCCATTAATGCAAATAAGAGTTTAAGCAATTTAAAGATTAATTATTAGATATTTTATGATTAATAGTGATTAATGCAAGTAAGAGTTTAAGTAATTTAAAGATTAATTATTGGATATTTTATGATTAATAGTGATTAATTGTTTGTGAATCACAACATTTCTAGGCCATTTGCATATATAATTATTCCTTTCTGCACATGTAATTCAGTAAAAAGTTTAATAATCAATTTATATACTTGTTAGTTTAATAAAATCAAAAGATATATACTTCTATTCGTAATTAAATGCAGGGCAGGTAAAACATATATGATGGAAATGTTATTATGATTTATCACCAGATTTTAATAATTAATATTTTACATATTAAATTAATCAAAAAAAGATGTACTTTTATTTATAATTATTCAAGTTGAAGTATATAAGGGATGTTTTTGCAGTTATTAACATATGTTAATACTTAATACTTACATACTTATTAATTTTAATAGTGTCTGATTGGGAATATTAAGAAAGATATGCATGCGTCTAGTTCTTGGACTCGGGTGTGGGTAATCTGTATAAAAACAGGTGAATTGACCCGTAAGTTAAACTTGGTAACATTATATTAAGCGAATTAATTTCACACCTGATTTTATTTACCAGCGTCTTTAAGTTACATCATGTTGCTAGAGATCATATCGATATTTTAATTTGAAATTATGTTTTAGAGATATGCGAATCATAGATCATCTAGTTGGTATGAATTGTGAGAATATAGCATTGGATTGTGTTATAAAAAGGAATTGTAGTTGAAAAGTAAGAACATAGGTAATTATGAAATGCCATAAATGGTCACGAGATCATGACCACACCCATGATTAGAGATGCTGGTGAAATTACCATATAGTGTGAACTAAAAGACCTTTTTATAATATCTCTCTTGATTTTCAGAGGTCTAGAATATAAAGTACCAGGTACTAAAGACAGATTGATTGCACTTTAGAATGTAAAATACCACTTAGAATACATAAAACGTTACTGAGGCACTTATAGAAAATTTATACCCTCTACTCTGACCATCGTATCCTTCTGACTATAATACCATATATACTGCTTAAATTGTAAAGTACCCTGGATACTTTAATATATACTATACAGTAATTTTACTAGTTTCACTAATTTAACACCAATTTCACCACTCTAATTTTATTTTACCAGCATCTTTACCTGTGACGTTGAATGAGCGATTTGTAAATATGATGTATTGGGTAATGAGTATCGATTTGATTGATTGAGTGATGGTCATAAGTGAGTTGTAAGTATGATGATGTATTGTGAAATGAGTATTGGAAATGTCTTTTGTCTTTGCTGCTAGGTCTAGCTTTGTCATTGACACCTACCCACTGCCAGACAAATAAAGTGCACTGTATTGGGGTGTTTGGTAGTTATTGATATGATTAATAACCTAGGTAGACAACCCAGATGTCGAAGATAAGTACTTTGATGAACCGATTGAACAACTCGGATATCAAATAAAATATGACAGATTGATGATACTAGGAACTAGCTGTAAACTACATGAACAGTGAGATGAGATTCTATATAGTGTTTTCTGCAGTTATATTTTGTTTTTGTACTCTGATGATTGAGTTACAAAATCGATATCACAGCTGATGCTGAAATTTTGATTATTTATTATTTTATTATTAAATTTTTAAATTTTAATAATAAAATAATAAATAATCAAGGGTTAGGGTCCCGTAGCCTAGTAGTCTAGGCACCTAACCCTCTACAGACAAGGTCAATGGTTCAATTACAGCTGGTGGTAATTAATTTAATTAATTATCTTTGTAACCTTCAGGGGCTTTTGAATGCGGAACCCTGTAGTAGTAAGACCATGTAAAGTATATATTTGGCTGATAAAAAATTCTTGGAAGGAGTCCCGAGCCATGGAGAAGATCGGGCACTATGTGTAATATGGATCACAGAAGGTATTATTGCAGAAGGCTGTGCGTGTGAATTCACAATTGGCAAGGTAGCACCAACAACCCTAAAGTGGCATTGGAATCTTAATTGGGAGAACAGCTGTATGCAGTATATCCAGAAGTGGTAAGAGAAGCGGTAAACATAGTAAGGGGCTGTGGTAAAAGAATGGCTTTACCAAATATAGAACACCTCTGGCGCAATGAAGAAATAAAGAAAACCGGTTAAAAAAAACCCCGAAAAATATGAAAGCAAGCACCCTAGTAGTACGAACATAAAAACGGCTAGTGAGTATAGTCGCACAACCTATATAGGAGTCTATGACGAAATACAGCAGAAGCACGGGTCCCAAGTTACTGCTTTGTGGCAGTAATTAAATGAGATTCTTAACTCCCGTCCTAAGGATCTAGACTTCTATATCATTATACCGATAGGGAGTACTTAAAAAGGGGTGGTAGCCTAATTAAGTGGTGTACGATATTAATACCTGAACCCATGTGAACAGCTCTCCTAATGGTGGCAGCAGGTGGCTTGAAATACGGGTCTTTGGACGGCGGCAGCACCTGGCTTGAGATACGGATTAGGCTCTAAAGTAACATACTCGAGGAATACCAAACTGGAAGCAAGAAGAGCACCCACTCCTAGGACACCAATTTGGAAGTTATACAAGATACGAATTAAGAGTAATGTAATAAGTGATAAGGGGTGGATTATAACTGGTGGATGTTGTACAGTAGTATATATAGCGGGATGTATATAAATTAAATAGATGAGTACAGCCTACTGTTGATCTGGAGAGAAATCTTCTAGTAAGTTAGGGGCCAAAAGGAGGTAAATCTGTGGCTAGACGGTTACACTTGGGCACCTTAGTGCAGCTGAGTAAGCTTTGTTACAGAGTCAGTAAGGGTATAGTTTCTAGAAGTTTCTGTACTGATAAAACCTTGTATGTCTCGATAAAAAAAGACACTTAACTACTGAAGATAATAAAGCAAGTACCGTTTAAAAAAAAAAAAAAAAATTATTTTTAATATAGAAGTAGTACTAAATAATTAAATAAATATCAAGTTATTTTAATATAGAACTA